AAAAAAAGATATTGCTCTTGCCTTAAGGAATTTACATTTTAGTGGATGTGTGGGCGCACACTCATGCACAAGTGTGTGTGTGTGTGTGTGTGTGTGTGTGCACCCAGGCAAGATCATAAATGACACGTGACTCAACCACTGGCTGATTGTGCCAGGTGCCGCCAGAGGGGCTCCATCAAGAGGGCTTGGGCAGAGACTGGGACGCACAAGGAAGGAAAGAGTCCTCGCCGTGCCCGGAGGCGCCCGCTGGGGAGCTGAGGACCGGGGTTCTGAGGCGGGGACAGAGCCTGGGGGCTCCAGGAGGGGACATGGCATCCTCTGGACCCTCACAGACTGACCCAAGTCCTTCTGCTGAGCCACACCCGGCCCTTTTTCTTTCCTTTTTTAAAATTTTCGTTTGTTAGTATGTGTTTGTGGCCTCGAGTGGGGCTGGCGCACGTACTTAACACATCTTCATTCCTTTTTTTCATCCTTCCTCCTCCCTCTATCGCTTGATCCTCTTCCCTTCCGAGCAGAATCTATCTATCTCCCTGTTTCCTGATATCTCTTTTATTTTTCTCATTATTTTTACTCTGGGTTTCTCATATAAGAGAAACCATGCAATATTTAGGCTGTGTGTCTGATTTATTTCACTTAACATTATAGTCTAGCCAGGTGTGGTGGTGTGTGCCTGTAATCCCAGCACTCGAGAGGCTGAGGCAGGAGGATCATGGCAAGTTTGAGGCCAGCCTGGGCTACATAGTGAGTTCAAAGCCAGTCTGCACTATAAAGCTCAACCCTGACTCAAAAACCAAAACTAAAAAAACAAACAAACAAAAAAACCACCTTGTCACGTCAAGGTACATCTAATTTCCTACAAATGACTCATTTATTTTTTTTTAAATGTTATCTTTCTTTATTGCAGAGTCTCACTCTACCCATTCATCTGTGGATGACATGCAGGCCACTTCCAAGATTTAGCTGTTATGAACTGTGCTGCTTTAGACATGGGTGTGCATGGATCACCGGAATCTGTCATTCCTTCAGGAAGATATCTAAAAGGATCCAGCTCTTTTCATTTTCCACTTTGAAACAGGGTCTCTCCAAGTCACTGAATTCCCCAGATGGGGCTTCAACTTGCAATCCTCCTGTCTCAGCCTCTCAGAGTGCTGGGAATAAAGGCCTGGGCCTCCATGTCTGGCTTCAGGTGATGCCCTAGAAGTTGAAAATAAGCAAGAAAGAAAAGAAGCCTCAATCCAGAAAGCAGTTCCCGGTTCCAGGGTGCTGAGGGGGTGGAAGGACAAGAAAGGAAGTAGCATACACCTCCCACCTCTGCACACCGCGCTCCCAGGCCTGCAGGAAGGAGCCCCCGTTCCTTGTCTCCCAGGACCACCTTGGCTGCTAAGATGTCCAGAAGTCCAGAGGAGCGGGAGCTGGTTGTGGGAACGGCCCCAGGGAAGCCCGTTGCCCAAGGAGTTGCTGGGATCTGCTTGCCCTTGCAGCTGTCCCACCCCAGCCCCGAGGAGCCCAGGAGCTTTCTCCCCGGCAGGGACTGTCTCACTTCCCCAGAGGGAAGGAGGGAAGCCTGTGCCAAGGCCCTGCAGGCAGCTGGACCCTGGGCTCCGCCCATCCCGCCTGCCTGGGAGCAGGTGAGAGGGGACCCTTGGCAGGCCCCAGGGGAGACTCACAGGCCTTGTCTAAAGTGCTCCGAGGGGTTTTGGCTGCAGGGGCAGGAAAGCCCCTGAGAGCTGGGACAAGGTCCCCGACAGCCAGTGGCATCCAAAACTGAGACTGGGGGGTCCTGGGGGAGCACATAGCACTGTGCAGCTGAGTGTGGCGGTGTTTGCCAGTCATCCCAGCATTCAAGAGGCTGAGGCAGGAGGATCGCCAGGGGTTCAAGGCCAGTCTGGACTACACAGGGAGACCCTGTCTCAAAACAAAACAAAACAAAACAAAACCCTAAAACTAAAAATGAAATGAAAATCGGGGTGTGGTGGCGCACGTCTGTGATCCCAGCACTCGGGAGGCTGAGGCAGGAGGATCACTGTGAGTTCAAGACCATCCTGGGCTACATAGTGAGTTCCAGGACAGTCTCAACTACATAGTGAGACTCTGTCTCAAAAAACCAAA